TTCTGCCTTAGTTGGCACAAAGACATGACTGCAAAATTCCTAAATTTGACCATTTGGCAGCATTTCAAAGTCCGAGGGAGAAAAACACAAGCGAATAGCAGTTAAGGTTTGTCTGCACTGTTGCCAGTCTTGAGGAACGATCCACCTTAAACGCTTACATTATTAATAATGCAAAGTCCGGGGGAGAAAAACAAGTTTTCCAAGCAAATAGCAGTTAAGGTTTGTCTGCACTGTTGCCAATCTTGAGGAACGATCCACCCTAAACGCTTACATTATTAATAATGCAAATCATGGCTTGAAAGATTGACCCAACACCCTTCAGAATATCACATTAGGAATCATCATCATTGGAGACTAAAATAAAGTAGGTTTTTTTGGGTTCTTTTAACCCTTAAACGGTTTTCCGGTGTACTAAACAATTTCAGTTTTCATTTAAAGACGCATTTTGTCCTGCTGCGTCACATATAATACCCGTATGGTAGTATGTACCCAGGTGTAAACCCGGTACCCTTTGTATTTTTTCACAAAGAATCTATTTTTGAAGTCAAAATGTCGATTTATCAAAGACTTGCATTGAGGAATCAAAATTTCTTGGGATATACGCAAAAAAAATCGCTTTTTTGGGCAAAGTATTGCAAAAAACGATATTTTAAATCGATATCTTAATTTGTAAACCACAAAAATAGAATCCTTGACTCAAATTATCGATGAAAACACGTATGGAACGTGCCAGTTGTGTCTCTACAATTATCCAGAAATTATCTTTAAAAAAACACTGTAAAAATGAAAATTTGAGATTTTGGAAGTTCGAGCCTCATGTATTCGATAAAAGTGTTGTCCTATGGAGCCAGGATTTTTTCCTCATCATTTGAAACCAAAAGGCAACTCACTTTCACTAGCCGTCGATGCCGAGAATCCCGGCATTCCGGCTATCATCTAGTGCCCGAACTGAAGAATGGTCAGTATACGCTGCTTTGAGGGTAAGTGCCTTGTGTATTAAAATTTATGTGAGCACTAATTTACATATGCATCAAAATTTTTGCCCATATATCACTAATCAATAGAGTTTGATACAGTTAATGTTAAAAATTACCAAATTTTTCTCAGGAATCGAATGAAATACAACAATTTATAGTTTTGAAAACCAGTAAAATCGATTCCTCGTGAAAAAATATGTGGGACAATTTGTGCTTGATGATGAAATTGCGTGTTTGAGGGCATCTCCACTGACCTGAATAAGAAAAAACCTGATTTTTTAGGCATTTCAACGATGCGAATATTAGAAGGGCTTGAGCGCCATGATTCCGTTGGAATTACGGCTACGGACGATTTTTTCCCGTATTTTACACGCAATTTGGCCACCTTCTTTCCCTATTCAGATTATATAGCGCTCAAGTCAGGAATTTCGGTCACCCCTAAGGTACTCAGGTTCCCCCCCTCCAATGCTGGGTGATTATTCGATGAAATGTAGATGAATTCTCATCCCTTAGAGAGGCACTTTAACAAATTCCTCATCATCAATACAAAACTGAACACTCTTGAAAGCGGTATTTTTCGCAAGAAACGGGCCTCTCTGGCCCACAATAGGGCGGTCCGGCTAACTGCGGTCCACCAAGTTCCCAAGTGTTCCAAAGTTCCGAGTTCCGAAGTTCCTCAATTTTTTGGCATATGTAAGTACCATTTTCTTTCAAATTACGTCAGCTATTCAAATATTAACAAAATCCGGGATTTTTGCTCATGCGTTGCCACTATCTAAAAAAAATAACCGCAAAAAAAGGCCTTTTAAGGTCATTTATTCAAAATGGCGGCAAATGCACACCAGATACGTGTAAGGAAACTTCAGATTTGGATTCAGTGACTCAAAAAACATTAAGCAGCCCAAAAAAGTAGCTGTGTACCCAAAATTCCAGGTAGCCTCATTTTTAGCTACCAGGCGCCTGGACCATCAATATACATAGGCTGTCCCAAAAGTTTCGCATCAGTCCACTGTATAAGCCAACAAAGAAAGCTAGCAAGTTGCGGTTTGCAAAGTTCTTTAGATCAACTCCTTAGCTACAAAACGAGCCCTTGTCAGCTCATTTTGTCAAAAATTGACCAAGATACAGCGTTTTTTTGGAGACATGTTGGGTGGACCCCTCCAAGATTTTAGGACTTTTTTCAGGGAAAAAAAACAAACAAACAAAGTTTAAACATGAAGCAAACGGTTGATAGTGCGTATTATATCAGTGTGTTGAATACTCTTTGAACCCATATTCGTAGAAAACGCCCCGATATGAAGGAAACGGGTATCCTTCACCAGGATAACGCTCGTCCACACACATCCATTCTCACTCGCGAATTTATGAAGTTAAAAGACATGGTGATCCTCCCCCGTGTGACGAGGAAAAGTGAGAACTCGTACGATCCTGATCGTCAGAAAGCAAGCCTTCTGGAAAGGATCGAGCTTCAGCTGATCAAGCCACAAATTTAGGGTGCCAGATGCTCGTCGGGACGCCTGGTTTCGGGCGCCAGCACACTTGAAGTGCGTAATCAAAAATATAATGAGGTGATTTTCCTGAGATGAGGACAGGATTGGCAGGAAGGAATAATGAGAGCAAATTTGAACATACTGGAGTCAATTTTTATTGACGAGAAAAGAAAACTATTTCTTAAACACAATTACAAACTTAAAATTCTCAAAACAAAAAAAAAATAAACTAAATGCGAAATCAAAATTAGGATGGTTGAAGACGAATGAGTTGATCGGATTGACTTTTAAAATACTTTGAAAGGAACGGTGAAAGAGACATTTATGTTTTCGAACTTTTGATTATTTATTTGACCATAAATCTCCCGGACAACCGGTGCTACTCACCACGTGCACTCAATCTTGAATAGTAGATTTAGGATTCAAAATAAATACTTTCAAAATAAATTCAAATAGCGACCAAAGTTCCAGGTGCTACTCACCACGTGCACTCTTGGAATCTGACACGCATTAAGAGATTTTATTTGCCTAAAAAAAAATTAATTAAACTCAGTTTGTTTCTAAATAAATGTCGACAAAACAGAAATACATTTCGAGATTAATAATAGAAAGCTCGTGTAATTAGTTACTATAGGAGCTACCCGAAAATGGATGCACACAAGTAAGTAATTACAGCGAGAAGTCATACTTTCATTTGAAAGCGTGCTACTCAGCAGCTTTGCAAACGAAAGGATCCGAAGAAAATGAAGAACTCTGCGTCTAACTTATGTTCGTCGGATAGCCGCGTTGATGTACCGGTCGGGACCCCATCAAATTCATTTCATCTAGCTTCCGCGCGCATCGACCAACTTCATTCGACTCCAATAAATTAAATATACAATTAAATAATCTTTTCCTTACATCAAACTACTTGCCTAAATTAGCTTCACGACTTTCTTTTATCAATTTGGTGAAAACAATTAATTAATTAAGCTAAAATAATAAAAAATTGACTTTTTCTTAAAAGTTTGAGCGACTGAGCCACCGTGCACACGCTAAACAGCTGGGTAGTCGGGTACAAGAGGTTCCAGATCGCTCTGCGCGAGCGCTCGAGTGGCGCGCGGCGGCCGACCGGTGTACTGCGGTACTCCGCTACTTCACCGTTCCTACAGAATGCGCCACTGTCGCAATCACTTGCGGCAGCTGTAGCCATCGAAGTTTTTACATATGATTAAATCTCGGCACGGTTTAAAATTAAACAAAATTTCCTAGGTGATTACTTATTCGAAACTTAAGTGACGGAAAAATTACCGTCACACCCCGCAACCCCCCCCCCCCTTGCCTCGCGCCCGAGAACCCCCCCCCCCCTACAGCCCGGATCTCGCGCCTTGCGATTTCTGGCTTTTTCCAGAACTAAAAAATGCTTAACGAGGTACCAGATTCAATTCAGTTGCTGATATTAAGGCTGCAGCTCAAGCTTTTTTTTGAACTCTCACTCCGAGGATTTCGCAAAAACGATTTTTGGTCAAATGGGAAGAACCCTTGCGTCTGTGCGTCAAAGCTGGATAAAAGTACTTTGAAAAAGAAAGAAGAAGCTTAGAATTGTCAGATGAGGAGCCATAAAGTATGTAAACTTCATTAGAAATACCTATTTTGTTCATTTCTTTTAATACACGCATCTAATCTTTAAACTTTGTTTGTTTTTTTCCTGAAAAAAGTCCTAAAATCTTGGAGGGGTCCACTCAACACGCCTCTGAAACAATCAATCTTCAATCTGGTATCTTGGTCAATTTTTGACGAAACGAGCTCAACAAGAGCTCGTTTTGTAGCTAATGAGTTGATCTAAGGAACTCTACAAACCGCAACTTGCTAGCTTTCTTTGTTGGCTTATACGGTGTACCGATGCGAAACTTTTGGGACAGCCTATGTATTTAAGCCTATCCCTACCAAATTTTGTTTGTTCAGCTTCAGCTGCAAAATGATTGCAAAAATCTGATGGGAGAAAAACTGAGCCATCAATTTCCAAAATGGCGGCCTATTTCTAGGGTAAAAGGAGAAAGTGAAGCTTGGAGTGACTTTATTCTTATTCTATACTTGTTGAAGAATATTCCTGCCATTTTTTGTCGATAAGTCAGTTAGAAACCACGAAAAATGAGAAAATAATGAAAATTGGCTTCCAGCTACCAAAATATAAGGTAGCATGAAAGAGTCGGCTTGTGTCTCGATTGATTTTCCCTATTATTACCTTAAGTAACATTCTAACCAATTTTAGGGTGGTAGCTCAAAATGCACTATTCAGACCATAAGCAACAATTAAGGCTTGCTCCTGTAACGTTATTTGGAAAAGAAAATAATGTTAGTTTAGGTATTTTGAAAGGACCCACAAAGTTTGCCTTCATTTTAAAAAACTCCTCTTTTCAGAGGTTACCGTGTCTTTTCACTACATTGTCAGATAAACTGAGTAAAATAGAAAGGGATAGCTGATATTTTATTAACATTAAATCAGCGCTGATCTTCAATTAATGTACAGTAGTAAAAAGAGCATTGCACTTACAGCAATTCTTTGCTTTTCACCACCAGACAGGATATCAATCCAATCTGCAACTGTATCCCAACCTTTGTCTCTACTGAGAAGATATGATAGTTGAACTCTATCCAGATGTTGCTCTAAGTCCGCATCAGTTTTGCCTCGGCGGATCATTTCTTCTCGAGTATGAGGGTATGTAACCTAAACATATGTACAAATTTCGTTTACAATACATACATCACATATCCAATACATGCATTGATTTATTTGAACAAAAACGGGTAAATAACATTGACTTGACTGGCGGAAACCACAAAAGGGGGCCAAACCTCACTTTCTTAACTTCCATACATGTATTAAGTTTTAATCTGAAGTGAATTTAAAACATCCGTTGATGCAGTTGAAAATTTGAGGATATGAGAAACTGAAAACTGCAAGAAAATTTGATAAAATGTGGTACAAATTGACTTTAAATCGTTAGCTTAAAACAGTTAGCTTTCACAGCTTTAATATCGAACTTAAAGTGTTTTCAACCACACCAACAGTTTTTTCTTGAAAAATTACACCGGACGATCTCAATAGTTGCCAAATTCCTCCTGGGTGCAACATCCCCATTGGGTCGATGTTTGGAAAAGAATTTTTTGGATGTCTTTAATGGGTATAAAAATACTGGCCCAAGGATTTTTTCCTACCATCCAGAATTTCTGTGGGGGAGGGGGAGCAGATGACACTACTTTCAATTCTAGGGGGGGCAGGGCCCGGGACCCCTCATTTTTTACGCCCATGGTCTTAAAAGTACTTTTTTCCAGTATAATGACTAATTTTATCAGCAAATGAATGATCTAACTATGGGCGCCCTTGTATCTGCCTGTATTACAAACTTGGTTATGGACCACTTAGAAGCAGAGGTACTCAAAAAATTTGGATTGCCTTGAGGTGAAACAATGCATGGATTTTCATGAATGAATCGATCAATCGTTCAAAATGAACGTATGATTTTGGCTTCTGAAGACTTAATGCGTCCTCAAGATCAATTTCCCATAATACACATAGCTTTTTTCTTCTTTTTGTTTAATATATCTTAGGATTTCTCCTGGTATGAAAAACCCAAAACGAGTCGAGCACTAGAGGTCCTTTCCATGCCCTAACTACTAAAATTTTTATGAATAGAAAATTAAGAAATCGTGAAGAAAAATAGGAGAAATAAAAGAGAGAGGCATGTTAAGGAAACTCCTAACTAGTAGTAGGAAAATGGTGATTAGAGAACAGTAAAATGTCCAACAGCGTTGCACAATGGTGCAGAAAAATACGAATTAAATTATAGTGTTGTATCGCGAGTATTGTAGAACAAGGCAACGCTGTAAAAAAGAAGTATTACATGTTGCCCCTTCAATATGCGGGTTATGCAATGGTGTAATGTAGCCCCTTCAATCTGCGGGTTATGCAATGGTGTGTTCTCCAGGATGGCGGTTATGCAACAGCGTTGCCGGACGGTGCACATAACTAAATGATTTATTAATGGATGAAATTTTGCAACGTCGAATTTTACAGTGTTGCCAGATGGTGCAAGAAATTCGGATTTTCGGACTTGTAAAATTTTCGGCGGCATCGATAGACCATATCCTCCAGTATGGGTCTGGTATCGGAGACTGGAGAATAGGGTCTGTATCATCGATAGACCATATCCTCCAGTATGGGTCTGGTATCGGAAACTGGAAAGTAGGGGGAATTTCGGAATTCGGGAATTTCAGTTCTTAGTGTATCGGAACCTTCTGTTTTGAGATGAGCAACTGGTAAGGATATTGCAATGTTCAGTTTGATGAATCAAAAAAAAAATTTTTTTTTTTTCTTTGGTGGAAATTTATTGTTACAGTTTAAAACAGTTCGCGTTTAGCGTTTAGAAAACGCACGCGTTTGAGAAACGTACGCGTTTGAGAAACGTACGCGTTTAGAAAACGTCCGCGTTCCAGAAAACGCACGCGTTTAAAAAACGTTAGGGTTGTCAACCACAAACATCGATCCCTTCTCCTTCTCGGAACTTTAAATCAACACTTATGTCATCGACTTTCCGATTGTTATTTTTACGGGACATTCTGATGAAACGGATTTTTTCCGGAGTATCTATGTCAATTTTGCGACCAAAGAGCAGTTATTGAAGGGGGCACACCACCCTCCTCTTCACTTACTTACTTTTGAGCGTTGGGTGGGTCAATTTAAACTCTTGGGGATCAATTAAGGTTTAAATTTGTTGAACTCTTCAACTTGAATGCAATTGATTTGCAATTCAGAAAGGAACCCCGGCTTACAAAATTGAGCCCCCGTGTACCTCCTAATGGAAACTGAATCCGCGACCATGAAATTTGGACTCCTTGGATCAATTGCGCAGGGTACCCTTCTTTTTTCGAAGAATCTACGTCAATTTCGCGACCAAAGAGAAATTGCGGAGGGAGGTACCGCTCCCCTGTATAGGAAATCATTTTCCAACCTATGGCAGGCCCATTCTTTATTTTTAGGGGTCCATTAAAAGTGAAATTTTCTGTACTTTTCAATTTTTGTGTGACTGAATCGCAATTCGGTGAGGAGTCTCGGCTTTTCGGATTAAGATCTCCCCTGCCTCCTTCCCAGGAGTACTGGGGGCGTTTCAGGACCATAAAATTCGAATTCCTAATGTTTGATTTCCTGATCATCTCTGCGATCTCCCACATTGTACGACCTAAGACAACCAAGAAAAAAGCCTGGTAAGGGTGGTTAGGAGCACCCTGTATAATGTGCTGATGATACTTGAAGTACACTAATGCAACCAGCAAGTTACAATTTTATCATCCATCGTGTACATTTATGAACAAATATTTTTCTCAATCAAATTAGTCTGCAATTGCTTAGTAACAACATGCTAGGTTATTGAATGAAATGCTGAAGAATAATCAATGTCTTACTTCTACAGTGACTTATCAATTGGCTTTGAGACTTTAAATTACAATGGAAAATTATAGATATGAAGCTGGTCACATGTCAAGCAGAGAGCAAAAAAATTAAAGGACTTCAATACCTACAAGAAAGAAACCTTAAAACTTACTTGATCTCTCAATGTTCCAAGGGTCATGTATGGTCGCTGCGGAATATAAAACAATTTGCCACGAGGAGGTTTCGTTAAAGTTCCACCAAATAAAGGCCATAGCTGTAAGAAATAGGCAAAAAAAACATTTAGAGCAAGGATAAATAAATATAACAGTTAACAAAAGTAGTCTCAATGCTTGCAAAGCAAACAATTTTTTTCCATTCCCTCACTCTTCAGAGACTCCTGGATACATTTCCTTAACCTTAATGTATGCTGCTGACACAGTACGTTGAACTAAAAAGAGCCGTTTCAAACTATCTCCATTTGAGGCAGTTAATTAACTCGCGCATTTGCAGCACAAGCACCGGTGAAAAACTGATTATAATGGCTATTGATGCCGAAACTAGTTATTTCTCTCTTACTTTTCCTAATTTTTCAGGTCACTAACAACCTTGAGTCTCTCAGAGATTTAAGAAATGTCTAAGGATCAGATGAAGGAGGAAATTGCCTTACCTGCTTGCTATGAAATAAAAATTATATCATATCAAAGGCACTTTCATGTTACAGTTTTACTAGAAGAAAAATTTAGATTTGGGATTTTTCTTTTTTTTCCTCTTTAAGAAATTGTGTACTTAAAAAAGTTGGATGCAAACTGATGTTGTGATTAAACCACAACCATACTTCAAAACCATGGTGACGGCTGTATTGTTAGTGTCTGTACGTTATATTTGAGTCGGCTCGTGCGAAAACCTTTAAAGTCCATTTTTTTCAATTTTTAGATTTCTGGATTAAAATTCTCTTGGAGGTCAGACACACTCATTAATATGGTAAAAATGTTAGATCTTTAGGTGTGAACCCTTTTATGTGGGGGAGGGGGGGGCTTTGGTCCAAATCATGCAAAAACCGCTAAAGTCGATCTTTCGTTATATGCCTCATAACACTGTACAACAAACCAAAATGAGAAAATGTCTCTACGACATACGGTGACCTTCCTGCATTTTGAAGCGCTGAATCCGCATGAGACCTCCGTTTCTTCCCATCACCCTCCAAATTTCCGAAAGAGCCGATTTTACACGAAAAATGGCCATTTTTGGTGTTTTTCCGACTGTTAACCCCTGCAGAATGTAGGTAAAATTTTTCTCAGCTGCAAGATACAACTTTACCGATGTATTTTTAACTGCTGCGTCCGTCAATGGTCTTGATCTTTCCCTTTCACCTCTCAAGTTTCCGGAAAAGCGACTTTTTCCGGGAAAATGAGCAAATTTGACGTATATTTGTCGTGAATGCAATTTATTTTTTTAAATTTTCCTGAACCCGTGGTAGTGTGTTACTTATGTATTTTGAACTGTTAAATCCGAATATGACATCGGTTTTTTTCTATCACCCTCTAGTTTTCCAGTAAAGCCGACTCGTCCGAGCCTAAAATTGTATATCGTAAAAGCTTTTCCGGACTCAAAGTGTACTCAAATGTATGTATGAATAAAGCCGCTTCATAGCACTCTCTAGCGCTCTGCAACTTCTAGCCGCCTAAGTCCCCTATCCTCCCAAAGCCCTTCAGGGAGTTGGCAAACCCTCATTTCTTCTATAACCCCCTGTCGCCACCCTTTCACTGAGCATCCCCTTCGTCTCCTCCCAGGAGAAACCCAATCAAGCAACTTCTTTGGCATCATCCATCACTCTATTGACATGACCATACCAGACAAGCTGCCTGGTCATGACGTCGAATGTGATGTCATTCTAGACTCCCATGACCTGACGCACTCTTTCAATACGGACCCGATCTCTCCTAGAAATTCCTGCAGACCTCTTCCAGAAATCCATCTCTGTTGCTCTTAGCATCCCCTGTGTCCGTTCCTTCAGCTGCCAAACTTCACATCCATATGTAAGAATACTTTTAACTACAATGTTGTAAATTCTTCTCTTGTTCTCTTTGGAAATTCGCAGATCCCAGAGGATTCCATTTAACATCGCTGTAGCCCTCCTTGCCAGGGTGATTTTTTCCTTAATCGCTTGATCCGTTCTTCCATCTTGGGTCAAATGCATCCCCAAGTATTTATAGTGCTCGCAGCCTTTGATCTGCTGCCCATCCTCCAACTCAATGCTTTGCTGAATCACCTCCCGAAGTCAGTTCCTCGGATTTGGAAATACTGCCTTCCAAATCCCACTTCCGATACTCCTCTACCAACTTGCGCATCATGTAATCGGCGTCATCTTGATCTAGTGCAATCACCACTTGGTCATCAGTAAAGCACAAAGTGAACAGAGTTTCCACCTCACTCAAGGGACACCCATCCCTCCACATTTTTTCTTCCATTCTTTCAACACATACTAAAGATATATTTTAAAAATGTTGGCGATGTTGGATAGTGATGTCATGTCATCATGACGTCACTACCCATCGCCTCTCACCGATGGTCATCATCCATCAACGAGGCATTCGCCATTCTTGCCCTTGCTTGCTTCTGATCATGATATGTATTTGTGACTGTTGAATATTTGCATTTCTTAATAAAATGCCTTAGTCTCAACCCAGTGTTACGTTCTTGTGTGCGACCCACCTATCATCTTAAATCATGGCGACGAGGATAAAACGACAAAAGAAGAGGGATTCCAGCCAAGCAGCAGGATAAACGGCGACACGACGGCCCGACCACGCCAAACGGTGGCCTAAAATGGCATAGTGCGGCCAAGTTTTTTAATGTCGTGTTCGTAGCACCAATTCTTCTTTTAATAAATTTTAGAATATCGATTCAGTTCGAAATGTTTTAATTAATTTTAACGCGTTCGGTCTTCGGACATTACCTAAGTTCCTCGCTAATCTTGGATCTCTAAGTGCTTATTTCAATTTCGTGTTCGTGACAAAATGTCGTGGACTTTTCTGCAAATGTGTTAAATTTCTCTTCAGTTCCTCGCCAATCGCGGAACTCTAGATAACTAAATTATTCCTCGCTAATCGTGGAATTTCTATTGCTCCTTGCAATTCCTTATGTGTTTATCGTGATGGAGTTTCTCATCAAGCCATCGTCTCTTGAGGTGAACGAAGACATCCTAAAGAACTGGGAAAAGTTCAAGAGGCAGTGGACCAACTACAGTGTGGGAGCTGAAATCAGTAAGAAGGACGCAATAGTTCAAAAAGCGATCTTTTTGAATGTCATCGGCACTGAAGCAGAGGAGCTCATCAATTCTCTGGATCTGGCTGATGACAAAGCCGACACTGTGGCAAAACTCACTTCAGCTCTTGATGATTATGTCAAACTCAAATCAAACGAAGTGTTTTCGAGGTACCAGTTTTTTACGAGGGTTCAAAAAGAAGGTGAAGGTTTCGAAACTTTTCTTCTCGCTCTTAACAAACTGTCGGAACATTGCAATTTCAAAGATCTCGAAATGTCACTCATTCGGGATCGAATCATTATCGGTATTAATAATCAGATTCTTCTCGAACGGTTGCTAGGTGAAGACTATGAATTCGATAAAGTTGTTAAATTGTGTCGTTCGGTCGAAACCGGTAAACTCCAAGCCACTGAAATGGCCAGTGACGCGTCAAAGACTACGGCTATCGATTCGGTCAACAATCGTAGAAGTCAGCAAAACATCTCAACAACGCCGACTCCAAGTGGTCATCAACAACAACTTTCACAGTCACCAACCAAGCAACTCAACTGCCGGAACTGTGGTTACAAGCATTATATTCGCCAGTGTCCAGCATACGGTCAAAAGAGCACCTTGTGTCAGCGGCTGAATCATATTCCAAACAAATGCCGGTCCAAACCTAAAAATTCAAGTGGCTCTAAACCTACTCCTAAAACGGCTGATCAAGTTAACTTACAAAATCAGTGCGGTCATTGTTCATCCATTAGTGACCCGAGTCAGCTTGAAAATGTTCAATCCAGATCGTGCGGTCGTTCGGAAAATATTAACGCTAGTGACTACCTGTATATTTCTGAAATATCAATGATACAACCATATCAGTCACCACTAGTCGATAACTTAAATCTTCTCAGTGCGAAAGTGAACGAGTCGAACAGTTCGTCACAATCCGAAGAAGTTAACGTTCATATCGGTCCTGCTACCCCTGGTGAAATCGACATCCATAGCATAACGACTCCTGATAGATGCTGGATGGAAAACATCATTGTCAATGGCCAAACTTTGAACTTCAAATTGGACACCGGAGCTGAGGTCAACATTCTGCCACGCTGCATTTTTGATCAAGTCAAAAACTCTTCAACCTTCCTCCTACAAAGCAAAGCGATGGTTCTGGGCTATGGTGGTGCTCGTATCGACTCCAGTGGACATGCCGTTCTAGATTGCCAAATCAGAGTCTTGTCTGTAAGCTTTCATTTACAATTACTAATGTAGGGAAAACTCCCCTGTTAGGTTTAAATTCATGTGTTCAGTTAGGTCTAGTCACTAGAAATTTTGTGCATGATATTGAAAATTTCAAATCCAAAGAACAAGTTATTACTAACAACCAGGATACATTCAAAGGTCTTGGCACATTCCCGGATAAATGCGCTATTAAAATAGATCCACAAGTGATTCCTGTTGTAGACCCTCCAAGACGTCTTCCGGTACGCCTACTGGAAAAACTAAAGCGCAAACTAACAGAGTTAGTTATGTTTGATATTATTTCGCCAGACACTGAAAATGTTGAATGGTTCAGCAATCTTGTTATTGTGGAGGAGGATGGTAAAATCAGAATATGTTTAGACCCCAAAAACTTGAACAAAGTAATCAAGCGTGAATTTTATTTAATTCTAACCTTAGAGGAGATCAAACTGAAATTAGTCAATAAGAAAATATTTTCTGTACTTGATATTAAAGACGGATTTTGGCACTGTCAGCTTACGCCTGAAGCATCCAACTTATGTGGCTTCCATACACCCTTCGGTAGTTTTAAATTTCTACGAATGCCCTTTGGCCTTGTCAACGCCCACAAAGTGTTCCAAAAACTTCTTACTAAATACTTTGGGGACATACCAAATGTAGTTATTTACTTTGATGATATTCTAATCTGCGGAAAAACTGAGAGAGAACATGATATTGCACTTGCGAAAGTACTGAGCAGAGCATGCAAGTACAACATCAAGGTTAATTGTAACAAATTTCAGTTCAAGCAA